CAAGATCCTTCGGAATCCAAAGTTTCCAGCATAAATCATCAACGGTTTGGTCGCCAGAGGCATGCTCGGTTCGCCGATAAACATAACCATCAATGACTTTTAAATCCGGTATTTGTGACGAATTCTCCTCTATTTTTTTTAGAAGCTGGGAATACTCTTTAGATTTGAAACAAGCTGAATTTAAGTCCACGAACATTCCGGACTGGTCTTCTAAGGAAAACAAACTACCTATCTCCAGCTCAGACAGGTCATCAGAATTGGCCCTGGAGAGAGTATCCGGTACTACATTAAGATTGCCACGCCTATGTTCAATTTTAAACTTATACCCCTGAAGCTTTAGGGCCCACCGAGCTAGCCGTGTGCTTAAGTCCGTCTGGGACATGAGCCACTTCAAAGACGCATGGTCAGTGATGACAGTGAACTCATGCCCCTCAACATAAGCTCTAAACTTCTTGATGCTCAGCATTGCTGCCAAGCATTCTTGTTCGGTGACAGAGTAATTACGTTGGGCTTGATTGAGCTTCTTCGACATAAAGGCGATAGGAACCTCTTCACCCTCCGCATCTTTCTGCACCAAAACACCTCCTATACCAGTTCTACTTGCATCACAGTGTATAAAGAACGGCTGTGAGAAGTTTGGACTATGTAGAACTGGAGCGGTGCTCAAGTGGGTCTTTAAAGTCTCAAAGGCGGTTTGGGCCTCTTCGGACCATACAAATTTGCGCTTAGTTTTAGTTAGGTCAGTTAAGGGTGTGGCAATAGTAGCGTAGCCCCGGATAAATTTCCGGTACCAACCCGTCATACCCAAAAATCGACGGACCTGCTTAATAGATCGAGGTACCGGGAACTCAGAAATAGCGGATACCTTTTCAGGATCCGTCCGTATAACGCCACCTCCTACCAGGTGTCCAAGATATTTTACCTCTTCAACGCAGAAATTAGATTTTTCAATATTAATAGTCAAACCTGACTCTCTGATCCTCTGAGCAACCAACCTTAGAACCTCAAGATGCCTCTCAAATGATTCCGAAACTACCAGCAAATCGTCCAAATAAACAAACACCTCCGTCCTGAGAGCCGGGGGTATCACTCTGTCCATTAATCTGGACATAGTTTGTGGGGCATTACAAAGCCCGAATGGCATCACTGTATAGTGATACAGCGGCCTCCCAGGAACGGTGAATGCTGTCTTTTCTTTCGATTGTTGGTCAAGAGGAATCTGCCAAAAGGCATCTTTGAGGTCCAAGGCGGTAATAAAACTAGCTTTGGGCAGTCTACTGAGTATGCCGTCAATGTGTGGCAGCGGGTAAGCATCACCCACTGTGACGGAGTTAAGTTTACGGCTGTCCAAGCAAAGACGGTTCTTTCCGGGTTTGCGATGGAGGACAACAGGTGAGGACCAAGGGCTATTGGATTCCTCAATAACGCCTAGCTCCAACATCCTGTCTAATTCGCTATAAATCAGTTTTTCAACTGCAGGTGACACCGGGAAATGTCTTTGTTTAATGGGCTTGACAGAACCAGTGTCAATTGAATGGCACAAAACACTAGTCCTGCCAAGTCCTTCCTTAGAAAATGAAGGAAACAATCTTACAACCTGTTCGAGACGTTGAAGTTCAATAGGTGAAAGTGAAACTTTAGTGGATACAGTGGAGACATATGACAAGTTGTCGGAAAGGTAATTACCCTTCACTAAACCTTTGGGAAGCAAATCAAATAACTCCCAAAAATCTACACCCAAAAACAATTCTTTATCCAGACTGGGAATTATGAAAATAGTGATCAACTTGTCAATGCCCTTAAAAGTTATGTTCTCTTTAATAAAACCTACAACCTCCTGGCTACTTCCATCTGCAGTTCTCACAATAGAACTGATTCTTTTAAATGGTTTACCAGAACGTAGAAACTCCTCAGCTGCTTTGCCACCAAGGCAACTTAAAGAGGCTCCTGTGTCCATTAGCCCTAACATTTTTCTTCCGAACAAGGTAACCTCAGCGTAAGGACGAACATCTGAGGGTCTATCGAACACCGAACTCACGAATTGTTTCCTCATATTACGCACACTCTTCCAGAAGGACCTCATCCGCTCTGCCGATCTCGAAGTTCTGACATTTTCCCCAAATATTCTATCTCTTGCCTTGTAGTATTCTCGTAAACGTATATGTAGTGGTTTTATAACGAACTTATTGGTATTAGGTATGTCTGTATCTAAAGTGGGTGTTTTTGAATCTATATCGGATTCGGGATTATTAAAGGCATGCCTTTTTAAAATATTTATTCGAGGTCCAATTCCTGAACCTTCCCTTGATTCTGTGCACTCAGATGTGCACCTACTCTCTCGTTTTTTGAACTGCATTTCCTACAGTTGGGTTTATAAACATCGGGGGTGCCGCATCCATAACAGAATATGGTTCTGTTGGACAAACAATCCTGATAGCGGTGACCCTCCTTTCTGCAGTTCCAGCAGACCAAGCCGAAAGCAAAGATCTCCTCGCCTCCATGTATGGATTGATTAACCTCATCCTGATCTACAACTTCGTTAACCTCGGAGACTCTTTTGGAAAATACAGGGGGTTTTGAAACAAAGGAGCCATGCTTTCGACGTATATCCTGTAAAAAGAATTCCCGTCTCCGGCATATATCTCTTAAATCCTGAAGGGATGAAATCTTGAGATTCAAGATTTCATGCTGGATCTCAGGCAGCAAATTTCTTCTGAGGATCTCAACAAGGGTGTCTTCAGTAAGTGGCTCTTTAAGACGATCTGTCAGCTCCACGACAGATTCGTAAAAAGTATCAAAATTCTCGCTATTCCTCTGCTTTCTGTCGCGAATTAATTCACGAATATCCACGTCAGTTCGTGAATCTCCATATTGCTTCCTTAAGCCACTACATAAATCTTGCCAAGATAGATTTCTCACTGAACGATGGTATCGCCAGAACCAATCTGCCGCTTTACCATCGAACAGGAGGCTGGCATTTCTACATAAAAGATCGTAGTTGCCCTGCAACGTCTGCACCGTAAGAGCCTCGACGCGGTAAATGAAATTTTCTATTGATAACCCGCTGGAACTACCCGAAAATTTCAGCTTCCAGTTGGTTATTATATGGAGTACCTTATCGGGCCTAGAGGTTAGATCCGAAGAGGATGACACGTTTGACAGAGTGGTCTCTGCTAATGGATCTCTCCGAATACTATTCGACCTAGTTGGGTTCCCAGAGTTGTCAACCGGAATACCTAACAAATCCCTAAGTGCGAGCTGATCAACAGGAGGAATTTGAGGAGGAGTGTATTGAGTATGAGCATGCGATGTCGTAGGTGTTCTATGTGGTTCCTGAACGCTTAAGCGAGACAAACCAGCTTCAATGTTCGTTTGCACAAGCTTGGCCACTTGACTACTAAAGGCAGAAAACAATTGCATTTGCTGAGCTGCAACTCTACTCATTATCATCTCTGTAAGACTGTCGGGATCTACACTAGCATGATCACTACCACCACAGGCACCACTAGATCCACCGACAGCACCACTAGATCCACCGACAGCACCACTAGATCCACCGACAGCACCACTAGATCCACTTTGGGATATCGCAGTGCTACCTGAAGCTTTAGGCGCATGCTGAGCACTAGCTGATTGCTTAGATTGAGATCTAGTTTTCGCACCTGAGGGTGTTGGGGGTGGTTCACTAAATAGGCGTGTGTTGCACGTTGGACAGTATGGTCTCAACTTTAGGCACTTTTCTAAGCACGACTTGTGAAAGCAATGTCCACAATTGGTACGTCTACCCTGAGCGGCATCAGAGAAACTCTGTCCGCATACCCCACATGCAGGATTGTCGGAGACCTCATTGTTAAGTTCACCCAGAGCAGATTCTAAGGACATTTTCGAAGCTTTCGAACCAATACAACAACGGAAAGGATATAAGTATGTAAATCCCTAAGAACCAAAACAGAATAATCAAAATTTCGGATTCGAATGATATTACGCCAAAAGATCCCGTAATAGTGGAATATGATTATGTATTTCAGATCCAATGGAAAAAGAACAAAATAAAATTTCGGTGTTCAACAATAGTTTCGAAATTGAGTTTCAAAGATTTCAAACGATAGCAAAATGAATACTGAATTTGATAATAATTTAATAAGTTTAAATAAGTTAATGTAATTTATTTGTTGTAGGAAAATCGGATGGCCAAAATTTTCAATTTATTTATAACTTTTTGATTCTTCCCCATAATAAAAGTGCTTGCTACCAAAGATCGATCATTTAAAGTTTATAGAATAAGAAAAAAATACAGAACAGGTGATATTTATTACTCCGTGGTATAGGTCAACGCTTCTATAAATCCACGGAAGTATACAAGAGAGAATTCTGATTGACTTGTTTTATATCTTGGCCAGATCTAGTTTATGGTAATACCCAGAATCCGTATTCCAAAAGATGCAAACTAGTACAAACAAGAAATTCCAAAAACAAATATAGACGAAAATTTTCTAATTATTGGTTGTTAGAGGATATCTGGGACCAAAAACAAAATCCAATTAATTTGAAAAATTTTCTTGGAAAGGAAAAGCTAAAAGATAAGGAAAGATAGTAAACAGACATAAAAAAGTATATTGAAAATAGTTTGAGGCCGAACATGGGTTTTAGGTACAAGAACTGCACTCTAAATGATAGATTTTTTTTTGATAGTATATTGATGTTCGGGCCCCACGTTGGGCGCCATTTTATTTATTATGTAACATATAACGGTTGAATTATTGTGGCTGATGTTGACAACAAACTTTTTGTGACAGTGGCACGCAGATACACGGCCTTATTAGCTCGCCGGTGGGGTTGGGTTCATCTACTGTCATGTTTGTAAATCCACTGAACATAATAAATACATAAAACAAATTGCGTGCACTAAAATTTTTCTTCGAGTGTACTTGTTAATGATTGAACGAAAAGATACACCATGATTTCTAAACTCGAAGATGATTTCTAAGGGGAAGGAGAAGAAGTAAAAAGGTAGGAGACAAACTGATGAGTGAGAAAGACGACACTACAAATGATCCAGAGCTACAGCTGTTGATGTGCTCTTGCGCCCTCCCAACCATGGTCACATTAATAACTAATCCAAACGGAGATAAAAGACATTTTAGTGACCCCCAGGACCTCATGAAGCAAGCAACTTTATACGGGGAAATCAAAAAGTTAAAAAAAAGTGATCTACTCAGAATTCATAATTAATTTTATTTTCATATTAAAGGATTTTACAAAAAAAAAAAAAAAAAAACAGAATCCTTAACCTTAATCATAACTAGAGTTTCAAATTAAAAATAAAATTAAATTGTAAATTAGATTTATGAAAGTATACATTTGCGAACGCCAAAAATGTAACTTGCATTGCGATGAGCTCAATATAAGTATTTGTTCTAACAATGGAAAAAATAATATCTATCAATTATGCATGCAAAAACTAAATAAACAATTTAGAATAAGAAACGTAATTTTTTATAATATAAATCCAAAAGCTGTTTATGTTTGAACCAGTTACTATTATTGCTTATCAACTTCTTACACAGCAACTCAAAATATTATGATCCCAAAGATAGTTGAGTCGAACTGATTATGACTTTCATCAATCAACAAAACCTTCTTCAGGGTATCACTTTCAAACCCGATCACAAAAATAAAAAAAAAAAACAGAAAACAAAAATGTAAATAATGTAGCAGAGATAGATAGAAGCCAAAGAACTCAATTGGTGTATTCTTTTGCTTTATTTCTTTGACGATACCTCCATGATACCAACAGTTGTTCATAGTATGTAATCAAAACAAAAATGATAATAAAAACTTACTTGGTCATTTTGTGGCTCCCACGCAGAAAGTACTTTCGGCGAATTCAGGGTGTAATTACTGACCTTTACAGGGTAATGTTAATGATGATGTTATGCTGGCAAGAGAGGCATGTTAAGTTAACAGTATGTGATTTAGAATAAATGAGAATGTGTTCGAGATCGGTTGCTGAATATTGATGTTGATAATGAGAGTCGTCCCTGAATGGTTCTCAATTAATCATGACCAGCGTTTTTCTGTCTCATCAAAGACTATCTTCTACATCACTTACACCATGTAATAAAGAAGAATGGAATAATTTTAGTAATGATCATTAGACCATGTAAGTGAAAAAAAAACATGTGGTAATTGATGTAGATGATGATCTTTGATGGATTATAACTGTATCACTTAACAAACCAATAAATTAAACTTTTGATTTTATAAATATAAAATATAATTAAATATGAATATTTAAAGAATCACAATCACTTTAAAATTATATTCTAATTATTTTTACTGATGTGGTAGACAAATAATCTCGCGTAATTTTTCTTAATCACTGGGGTATAACACTATTAATATTGTTTGATTTGAAGTTTTCGTTTTAAAACAAATTACTTGCTTATGATTTATGTTTGATAACTGATCTCTTTACACATTTGATCCTACCATAAAAAACTTCCACCAGATTCACAAGGTGATATCTAGCTGATCTGGTTGAATATATCCCGATTCGTGCCGAAATTGGTTTTTTCTTCATATCTTGAAAACAAAGCAGTTTGTAATAATACATCAAATTTCACATTTCTCCCATATTTCTGGTTATTGATTGACACAGGGCATTTGCCCGTCTTGATGTAATCGACGCTGTTGGAGTAAAAGTTAAAAATCACACTGACGCTGCGTTGCGGTTTGGGAATATGTGAGGCCGAAAAATGTGTTTTGTGAGAACAAAAGCTTTTGTTCAATAAGATCTCTTCCTTCACAAAACAATTGTTGTAATCAAATGCGAGTCTAGTAGAAAGAAATAAATGATTGAGGAGAGAAACTAAATAGGGTTTCTTAGAACTTTTAGGAAATAATGTTTGATTTACCTTCCTCTTTGACTATGGATTTTATTCCATAGGGTAATTGTTAAAGAGATTCAAAGGCTATCATCCAAATGCATAAAATTATGTGGCCACTAAACAAATTGTATGCTTTGATAAATATTATTTAATAATATTTGCAAATTTAGATTTTCTTACAGTCACACAACCAAAATTATAACCGCAACTTGAACTGATTTAATGACTTTCTGAAGGTGAACAAGGTTATTTTTAGAAATTTTTGGATGAACTATATTCTTCCTCTTAAGGGTTAGATGACAAAATGGACGATTCTATCTAATCTTTATCAGCTTGAACCCTCGGCAATTACAAATGCTAGCGAGTTAATTCCAGTATTTGAGTAAAAATGTAGCACACAAATAGTAGCGAGAAACGAATGCTCTTATGGATAAAGTGTTGCCTTATAACAACTTCATATCCAGGTGGCATTTCAAAATACGTTACAGTAGGTATTTTTAAGTTTGGTTTTAATTCCAAAAAAAAACAAAAGAATGAAGAAACAATCCAGTAGGGCAAGCGCCACTACACACTCTTATTTGTTTTACAATAAAAACGACGACACAAAATAAAATGTAAACATACACCTCGTTTCTGATTGGTTGAAACAAATTTGCCGCAACCTTTAAATGTCATGGCGAATCTATGTTTTTCGCCTTAGATGCCAATTTTGACATTTGAGGGTACCACAAAAGTTGCTTTGTTGTAGCAATTCGCCGATGCGGTTACCTGTTATATCTACCTTGGTTCAGCATAAGCATTTTGACAAATTGGAGGGAGGAATGCTTATTTACTAGTGTTTACGGATGTAAACACTAGTCAAATAAGTAATATTTGTAAAATGTCGTCGCCGAATGTAATGAAATACTGGTTGTTATTGGAATCGCTTATATTTCCGGGTGAGTTAGTGATTATCTGCTAAGAATCCATTTTAACGTTTGTTTATCTAGGTGATGCCAAAAATTCCGATTCAACAATTTCGGAACAGGAGCGTATTGCGAAAAACAATGAAGTCTTGCAAAGAAGTATGCAGTTATCGCCAACAGAAGTGGCCAAGATTTTGATAGAGGATCTTGAAGTATCCCGTTTGACCAACAAGGAACAATATGTTGCCTGCAATGTAGATGAAAAAACAATATACTCCATTTATTTGCTTATGACCATACGAACTATTTATAAAAATACCAATTTCAACAGCGATAAGGTTGAGGACTTGATATCGGAACATCACAGAAGGCAAATAAGCTACTGTATTGAAGATATAGCCGAGAACGGACTAAAGCCGAACATACATTGCGCGTTCCGTGGAGATAGAAAATCCATTTTTGGGGAAAGTCTTCGAAAAGATCCAAACCTTTGCCTTGTAGAGCTACTCGTAGAGGGGATAGCATCATTTATGTGTATTACGTCTTTGCCCATAATTCGATCTTCGGACGAGATTACACTCTGCTATATAGCTGCTTTATACACATTGATTTTTGTGTCAGACCTAAAGGGCGATGAAATGAACGAGTCGAATGTCGTGAGCACGAAGGCAAAACTAAATAAGTTATGGGGTAGTGTACCCAAAGTGACATTTTTTCGCAACCTAATGATGCTATATGGAATGGTCGAAAATGAGAAAAAATCGATAGTACACCGGGATTTGTTGTTGAAATTGTGGTCTCCAGGAGGTTTTGTCGCCCTTCTGTTTGCCATGCAAAAATCCGATAAGGAAGAACAATCCGTCAAAGATGTTGTTGTAAAATTGGTTTCACAGCCTTCTTACCCCAAAAGAGCGCAGGCATCAATAGTGAATCAAATTCTATGCTTTCTAAAAGCTAGTATTGACAATAAAGACGCAATATCCTACATGGGAACAGGATTAATATCGCTTAGGAAGCTATGTGAGAATAGTATTTACAATAGAAAAATAGTTGAAGATTGGTTGATAAAACAAGTACAACCATTGTTGGATTTGCAAAAGGACTGCTTAACTGTTATGGAGTGGAGTGAATTCAGTTCAATGGTGCACCTGTTTTTCCAGGCCTTTTGCACTTCCACTATTGAATGTTTGCCGAGTGAGTTTTTAGTTCCATTCATACCATTGCTCATTACGTTGTACCAGTATATAGACAAATACAAAACCAAACCTTTTGTTGATGTTGTTTGTAACCACCTATCCCATTTAATATTAAGAATTCTTAACAACCGTACTACAGAGGAGCTCAATATAATTATTATGAACATGGCAAGTGACGAATATCCCAAACAATGGCTAAAAGTAAATTCGAGGGTGAGAATTGAGGAGGACATATTAAATTCCCAACATTTGAAGATAGTCCAAAGGGAGGAGAAGCAGGAGTGCGACTCATTCATCTCATGCAGTCACGTGAATAGCCTGGCCGAACTCCTTAAGAAATCTTCTTTTAGCACACTTGCGTTGAAAGTGTTCATTATTTTATTCAAATTGTTCCCCACTGTTGGCAGTATGAAAAAGTCTTTGGTAGATGAGTCCATGAACAATATGGATTTGCTTATATGTGATGAAGATATTCAAAGCAGAGTGATTTGGGAAATATCTAACAAATACAATGGAAAAATTCAAATTATTAATGCTTTGCACATACTAATAGAGCACAAACCGCTTAAGAGCCTCTTAATGGAAAACATTAGTGAGCTTATAAGTGTTATTGAAGAATTCTTGGTAGTTTGCACAGAAATCGGCGACGAAAACAGTCACCAATTGGACAAAAACGTTGTTGTCATATTGTTGACTTTAATAAGGGAGATTGTGGAAAACGGTCCTGTTCAATCGGAAAACGTGAAGCGTAATTTGTTAGGGCACTTATTAAAACTGCAGGCCACAACTAGAGACAGAGACTTAAATTTGCATATTGTTTATCTTAAACAAAAAATCGAAAACGGTTCTGGTGCAACGCCAGGGATCAAAGTAAACGAGGAAAGGTTTGAAGAGGCCAGGACACTTCTAGAGTCAAAAGAACCATATAAACAAGTCGAAGGAATTCAACTATTTATCAATTTAATAAAGAGTAAAGATGTATTAACTATAAGCAATGTCCATGTAATAATGGCATTAGCACTTAATGCGCTGAAATCACCAGAGTCTTACACATTCCTGAATTGCGTCCGACTATTTGCGTCAATGGTTTACTTGGACGAGCACATAATATTAGAAACATTGACTGAAGAATACCTAAATGAATCGGCCGGCATGGATGATAGGCTATTGATTGGAGAGGCGCTACTAAAAGTTTGCTACGAAATTGGTAAGATTTGAGGAGATTTCTCTCAAAGTACTTCGCAATTACAAAATTGTCCAATTTCAGGGCCGCTTTGTTACAAATACAAGAACATACTCTTAAATTGTTACATGTTTGGGTGCCGATCTCCGCTGGATGAGTTCCGTTTTTCTTCATTCTCGAATTTGGCACAAATGTGCAAAATATTATCGTATGACGTTCATAAGTACTTCCAAGAGGTATGTAATTAAAAGTTAGTGCTAAGAACACTATCGATAAAACTGAAACTCATTTATTTTCAGCTTCTCAATTTGATCAACTGTGAATTGACTTCTGGAAAATACGTTCCAGCTAAACGTGCGGCCGTTATGGTGTTAAGTGAGCTCTTATCAGGAATGGATAACTTGATAGATTTCCAAGAAATGTTGTTACCCATATACAGACTATTGAAGTTTCTAGCATCCTCAGAGAGAACGGATGAAAAAATTCGCTTGCACGCATCGGTTGGTCTAGAAACATTGGCCAAGAAAACTAAAGAATTTTTGTCACTAACCGCAAATGAAATGTCCTTGGAAAAGGAAATACAAATAAGAGGAATTAAGACAAATTCAAAGCATAATTTTAAAAGTCATATTTTGTATATGGATTAAATTTTCTCCAAACCTTAAAGATTTATATAAATTATTTTCAAGTCAAGATATATTTAGTCTCATTTAAATATAAAAAAAAACTTTTTACAAACGATGTAATGAACACATGTTAAAATAATAATTAAATCAAACTCTGAATAAGGATTCCGCAAAATATACATCAAAACACTATTATTTTTTTGGTTTTAGTGACTTGACCTTGTAAAAAAGCGCAACTCGTAGTCACAGTTGCGTCAAGCCTTCTGATTACCAAGTACTAACTTAACGCAAATGTAACTCGTTTTCGATGTCCCATGTTGTCATGGACAAAAGGATGAAATTAATACATATGAAGCATGTAATTTTTAAATTAAAAACAAGTAAGCAAAGGCTACAGTCAGGCGGGCCGACCATCTGATGTCCTACAACACTACAATTTGCGATAAAGTTTCTGTAGATCTGAAATCCTCTTGACTAGAATGAAGATCTACTACATGATAGAAGCAAATGCTGAATCCTATTGTTCCTCTTTTCAAATAATCATGATGTATCTGGAACCAATATTTTCCTTATCTTCATCGATGTTTGACATAGTAGTAGTAGTACTACGTAAAGTACCCTATTTACTCTTTCGGAAAGAATAGAAATTTCCCATTCATAAAAAGGTTTTCAACATTGAACATTTTAGTTTTATTTTTATTCTTGAAATAATGTTACCTAGTCCTGTGAAAGTTTTATCTTTAGACCGAAACCACGAGGTCATGCAATTCTTCGCAGTATTTGTAAAGGCCAGAGGTGCTCCTTTCACGTATTTGTGATTTCATTAGTTTTGGTATTTTTCATACGAAATTGTGTGTGATCATCCAAGTGCTAAGTTCCAATATCTTTTAAACATTTTCCAACAACCTACTTGCCACCTGAATATAATACCCCCAACACATATTGTGTAAAGTGAGAAAAATTACAATATTGTAAGTCAAATTGAAATTATCATGCGATAAAAATATGACCATTCTTAATTGGTGAGGCTATTCTGAATTAGTGAGAATTGTCAATATCCGTCCAGTCGTTCCTGAGTTATAAGCGGCCTAACTAACATTCCTCTATTTAATATATGAGATTGTGACCCTTAGGGCAACAGCAAAAACAAGACGTTTTTTTATTTTGCCCCGATTCTCCATGTCATAATTGCGATCAGTAGTGTGATTACAAGTTAGCATGGATAGTCGGACACACTGACTCATCGTGGCGAAATAGGAAAATTTATATCTATATGTGGTAGGGTATAAATATTAGTAACATACACCTTGATAATTGCGATGGTTGACTTTAAAAACTCACTAAAAAAAGTAGGCTTTGTCTATGTTATCAGTATACTCATAGTTTAAATCGAGGTGTATTTAATTGCCTTGGTTCCAATATTTTGTGCTGTTTCTTTGTAAAATGCACGTTCATATATTCTTGATTGTGATTTCAATTTTAAAATCTTTGAATGCTGATAGTGAGACAGAGGAAAAACGTAGTACCATTTGACTGATTCGCTGCAATTTATTGCTAATACTTATAACATTTGCAGCTATAAAATGCTATGTATGCAGCAATGATGGATGCGATGTCATTGAAGAGGGCCAAACAAAGTTTCTGGAAGAGTGCAGTGCTGGCAAATGTTTTGTCAAAGAAGAACAACACGGTAAGTTTTTACTTACCCTTTGTGTCTCAAAGATAATAAACTTCAGTGGAAAAAGTATTCTACAGCGGAAATTCTCGGCAATTTTGTTTTATCGAGAGGATGTGGTGATTCAAGCTGTGGCTCTTTTCCTTCTTCTCTGTGTTGTGAATGCTACACAGATGGCTGCAATCAGAAGAACTCCTGTCTCGTGAAATCAAAAACTTCCGACTTACAAGCTTCAAGGAAACTAATTTATCTTCTGTTTGTCATATCTTTAATAAATTTCACATGATAAAAAAAATAGATGGGTGTCAAAAATTGAAGTTTCTGTTGTAGCGACCATTCAGGAAGATTCAAACTAATCTCTGAAGCAAAAGTATTACAAATGGTTGAAAGAAAGTTTGCTGCTAACAAGGTTATAATAGTAACCACTAATAAAAAGCAAAAAAGCATTAAGTTGGGCCGGGCCGAACTTTAAATATCCTCCATTATAAGCAAAAGAAAACATATTTATTAAAAAAGCATCTAGATTTAACCGTATTCCACTCTAAACTGCAAATACCAGTGATATTGGTTGGAGAGCACTGTTAAGTTTCAAAATAACATTAATTATTTCAATGTTAGTAGCGAATCGAACCTACAGTTAATGTATACTTCTAAGGATTTGGCTGGAAAAAAGGATCAGGGATCACGTACGTACAGGTACGTGAACCTATATTGACATTTTTGAAATGTATTTAGTCTTTACGTTAAAGACTAAACGACCAGTAAAGCGGAATCTATGCTGCAACAGTTGTTGCTGCAATGGCGGTTTTTGCATTGGCAACATTGCCATGGCATCTGTCCTTCAAGCTGACTTGAGTAATTAAGGGTCCTTTCTCATAGAATGCCCGCGCTGTTTCGACATCATCTATTCAGTTTCGCCACCATATAATTCGGTACTTTGTGCTGTAAGTGTGAAGTCGTTGAGGAAGGTGCTGTCGTGAAGGTGAATACACCGTAAGAAATATTGGAGCACAAATATAATCTTACTACATATTCGGAACAAATATTTCCGAATTTAAATTTTAAGATTTTTCTTTTTTGATTGAATTCTATTTGACAAAATACGAATTCACATGTTAGGAATAGAAAATTAAATTATTTCATATTGTTAGACAAATTTATCAAATTTATTGTCCTTCCAAATTAGAGACATTTTCATATCCCTTGATTTCTCTGAAATTATATGTAGATTCTTAGTCAATATTAGGGAAAATAACAGGATGTGATGTTTGTCATTCTGTTTGTAATGACATAATATTTTAGGACCCAACGCAGGATATGCGTTTCTGATCAGCATAAAATTCTATAACTATTTGCGTATGTCAGCCTGTGGTAATCGGTATTAATTTTTAAAGGATCAACTTAGATGGTTAGGGTGTTAAGTCCGAAGTTATTATTTGTGTTTAATAATTTTTTTTTAAATTTTTTTAATAAAAATTATATAAAATTTAAAATTTTTGAAAATGTCAACTTATATATTGTCTGATCAAAATATTAATTTTTAACAACGAAGTTGTTTTTAAAACTATTTTGTTATTTCAAAACACATATAATCACAAAAATTTTTTGAGGCTCTCTGCCTTGCCCTGCATTATACAAAAAGGATTGACATGCCAGCCATTTTGGATTGTTTCGTCAATAACAACGAAATGTGAAAATGTAGAACGATTGCGCTTTGCCTATGTGTCTGTCTCGTTTCCCTTTGCCTGATACAAACAAATGCACAAAGACATAATACCCTGACCACCTTGTGGTGTAGGGTATATAAAAGTTATTCAAAAAATTATTGCAATGCTTGGGAACATTGATATGTCAAAATTATGTCGTTGTTTTCTAATACGACGCAAATTGGAGGTTGTTATGACATGCAATTTTTACAAATATCAACAATTTTTTGTTTAACATTTTTAATTTCAAATTCGGTTTGACGGTTCATTGTCCCAGCATCTGCGTCGATGCGTCTACCTGTGTATTTTTCTACCATGTGTTATACATACAAAAAATAACAACAAACATAGTCGCCACATCTGTCCAGGCGAAAATATTTATTTTCGCCTCAAGCATGAATTTTGACATTTCATCTGGTAAAATAACAGCTGTTTTTAGATTAATTCGCTTGAAGGAAGACCTTATAATTGGGCCATGATTCTGAATATAAATTCCAAATAGTAAACATAAAATACATACAATAACTCGGTAAACTTAAACTAGCAGCACGAATTAATGGTGAATTCTTTTATATGTGCGGCGAATTTAAACACTACTGTAGATCTGCAAGAGTAAAGTGCAATATACAAAAATGAGATTTGTGAAGGATCCTTGTGGAATTGCTTGTTTAATCATTACTTATTTAATGGTGGTATATGCAGACTACGTGGTAATGCGGTGGATAATACTTCAGACGATGCAGACAAGGTAATCTAATATTTGTTTGTTATGCCTGCATTCACGTAAATGTACTGCTTTTTTATAATTCACAGTATATGGGGTCCGATACACGTAATTTTCTTCAACACGGTGGTTTTTCTTCTTGCCCTGTCTCATTTGAAAGCGGTTTTATCCGACCCGGGAACTGTGCCACTACCAGTCAATCGTCTAGACTTTTCCGATTTACATACTGTAGGGAAAAATAACGGAAATAGTCATAATGACTGGACAGTTTGTACAAGATGCGAGACTTACAGGTAGTATGAGACATAGGGACATTGTTACAAGTTACCTTTTGCTATTTAGGATTAAATTTACCTAAACTGTACGCTTTAAAATTATCCATGCACTCTTATTTTTTCCTCAAAATTTCAAACGATAGCAAAAGGTAACTTATAGTACTGCAAAAACGCGCAAACAGCTCTTTAAATCATCTCCAATTATATGTAGGCCTCCTCGAGCTCACCATTGTCGGATTTGCAAGCGCTGCATTAGACGGATGGATCATCATTGTCCGTGGATTAACAATTGTGTTGGCGAACGTAACCAGAAATTCTTTCTACAGTTTCTTGTATATGTGGGTATGCTGGCATTGTATTCCATTGCTCTAGTGGTTGGATCGTGGATATACCCTTGTGTAGAGTGTGAATCAGACACATTGGAATCCCAAACAAGACTGTAAGATAAGCCGTATCTTTATAATAAAAGTGTTAAACATTTGAGTGCAAATATTGCAGAATGGCTGACTTCCAAACTATCATTTGGACCAGCCAACTATGGAGCTCTTTAATTTCGTCACACAAATATACCCAGTTTTTAATATCGAATTGGCATTGTTGAATAGTTTGTAATATACTTGAGGCTTAAACGCCTATACTGTGCTGTTACGTTTTAGAAGTCGGCCAATAATCGTTTTAATCGAATACTCATACCTATGGATGTAATCTTCAATTTTTGTATGTCTTTTTTCAGATTACACAGTGTAATTTTGCTTTTGGAATCAGCTCTGTTTGGTCTATTTGTTTTGGCTATCATGGTTGACCAAATGCATGCCATCTTGCATGACGAGACTGCCGTGGAACAGGCACAACAAAAAGGATCGTATCGACCAAATAGACGTAAAATCTATCTTCTAGCAGATGTATTTGGTAGAGGTCATCCCATGTGCTGGCTTTGTCCTTGTACGAGTTTCACATCTTCATCCTCGCTACGCTACTATGATACGCCTCTTCTAAGCCATGACGTATAATTTTGAAAGATTTCAGCATTTAAAAAATAATTTCTCAATGTCTTTCTCTTGCATGAAAGACAAAAGTGATACAAGTAATGTAGGATTTATTCCTTAGAAATACTACTCCGTCTGAGTATCCATTATTCCGTATCCATGGAAGGTAAATAGGTTTTTAAGGAGGAAAACGATTCCTATTGGAATGTGACTGTTTTAGTTTCTTAATAATTAGTTAAATTATAAAACAATACTTTGTGTGTATGCAGTCCCTATTCTATAAGTTTTATTTATTTATATTTAGATACATTGTTACTGATTAAGGTTACTCACACTGAAAGTATGCAGCTGAACATATTACAGAAGCAGTATGTATATTCGTGTATGATACGCATTATCGTGGGCGCCGATTTGTACTTTTCGAGTTTAGCGAGAGTTTTGAGCAAATTGTTTGAAAAATCGTCGCAGATATTTTTAACGAAGCATTCAACCGAAATATGCATCATTTTGTAACTAATGATTTGTCGTGGACACACAATTGTGTGGTTCATAAACAGCTACATTGTGTTTATTTGTTTTGCAAGTCAACAATTTCCTTTTTTATTTTTGGGGAAATTTTACGTTTTCCTTCGGAGCTAAGACCGATAAGCCTATAGTTTTCGATCTAGCTAAGAATTTTAGTCGGTTCCTTTTTTAGGGCACGATGCCTCTAAACTTTTATAAATGATTACTTGATTCGTAAGCTCAGAAGAAATACATATGACCTGTTACCACTGTGTGTTCTTTAGGTTTCCCGTTGGCCTTACAATTTCTACAGTATTGAAATAACAAAACAACAAATGAATATCTAAATTGGTCTCAACAAATGAGAATTGGTCTCAAAACTCTCGTATAAGTACGATCAATGGTATTGTTCTTAAACACTAAACGCTGGTTGTATGTATGTATTTTAGTTTCCATTGCTGCATGCTTTTTGTGTGAGCGACTGTATGGCAGTAGATATGAAATAACCGATGGCAAATGAGATTGGAATTAATGTGTAATATGTGCTTGATTTGAAGTCGTAAACTTGTAAGTACATGTACGTATTGTAATGAAACCAAAGCAATGTCTTAATAAACAAAATTGTAATGGATATTACAATTTAATTACAAATAAATGAAATGTTCTAATGGTGCTCGGAAATAAAACGAGAAGTGTGCAGTAGTAGCATAGACATAGTTATGTCTTTTCATGCAGGTAGACTCTTACCAAGCCTTTGCATAGCCAATATGCTAATTGGTACAGACCACTCGACTTCGAAAATACATCTCATCGTTTTGCAAGATTTTCACATTGTTATTCCCGAATTTTTCAATGTCACCACGAAATGTTCACTTTTTTGGAACAATTTTCAGCTGACAAAAAAAAAAAAATGCAGTCCATGATATGTTTAACATTTCAGAATTAAGTCACTTCAATATTTTCACTCATACCCCTGAAATGATACAGACGATATCGATAATCCGAATTGTTTCGATGATTAGCGCTAACAGCTTTACTTCGTTTACATATATTCATGCGTCTATGGTAGTAAGTCTGGTCATTTATTGTCATTGTCCTTAAAATCGTTAAATTCCTTGAACTTTGATTAAAAACCCATGATTTCATAAACATGTTTTCATGTAATAAGTCCATTATAGTTTCACTGGATTTCGTATTCTGACTTCTAATACATCTATAGCTCCCAGCATAAATAAAAAAACATAGGGTCAATGCATTCGAATGGGTGAAAAATATACATTTTATAAAATTTTCAATTCGTCAGACATTTCACAAATTCCAATCGGAATGATTTTAATTCCGTATTGTAAAATCGAACGATTTGGTTTTAGCTTCTTCAGATCCTGATTGATTTGGTGAATTACGAATACCTTAGTGTAAAGTGGCAACATTAGAAGAATCAAAACTAAGCATATGATTAGAAATTACTGTAGAATTGGAAATTGTAAAAAATATTCAGTTCAAAAGATAGTTTATTTAATTATTACATAATGCCGGGAGTTTCGATTGTTTCTGAAATCGAAGCGCGAAGTAATAAACACAAAACTGAAAAAATACGCCGGATGAATTTTGTGAAATGCTTCGGACAACGTGCCATACCCCAGTGCAGAGTAAGCGTTTTAGTAACAAGTTTAGTTTTAAGGTATAAATAAATTCCTGTGCTTGTCCGTAAATGACTAAAACATTAATTAACATTTCAAGCCAAATTATTTATTTTTAATTATTCATTCCTTGGTATCAGGAAGTTGAAGACGTCAAAGTTGTTTAAGTACCGAAAGAAAAAAGAAATAATTCTGAAAATTATCAGTTAGAAATAGGTTTTTTACTTACCGTGCAATACTCCAACCACAAAAAAGGAAAAAAATCATTAATATCCGCCCTAAAAAGCAGAAAAAACAGCAAAAAGAAGTTACATTAGTTTCGAGAATATATTTATATGTATATATTCTTGGAAAAATGTTCGGTCGGACCGAACTTTTAATACTCTCTACCATTGGACAAAGAAAATATTTGTATATAAAAGTATTTGAATTCAAACGTATTCCACTTTCAACAACCAATACCAGTAAGAACGTCAGGATAATGCAGTTTAACTTTTCAAAAAACCATAATGCGGGTGATGCCGTTATATGGGAGTCATACCAAAACGGGAATCTATATCAACAATTTTATACTACACGCATTGTTAATTATTGCGAGTCTTGCGTGGGTAAATGTGACTAGTATTATAGTATTATCAAAATACTGAAAATCGGTGGGTATATCTGAGCTATAGGAAAACGTGGACCTAGATATTCGCAATTCTGCCACCGAAGATAGAACCCAAATTACCTAACATCGGGAGGTACTGTTATATAGGGGCTATACGAAAACGTGGACATATATGTACAATGAACGCATTACGTACTACAAATGCCAATAAAACCTTCTGACATTTTCAAGTAGAGAGCTAGAAGCCATTACGAACTACAAATGCCAATTTTTCGACAAATCGGTAAAAAATGTGACTAAAACAAACACGAACTACAAATATCAATTCTTAGAAAAATTCTTTGGAAAAATGTGGCATAAATCATGGTAAAAGGATACAAGTAGATGCATCAACGCCTGATATGTCAAAATTTTTTTTTTTCAAAAATAAGTAGTTTTTTATATGTATTATTATTCGACGCCAATCGGAGGTTGTTATGATATGCATTTGTCAACAATTTTAACGAATTTTAACAATTTTTCATTCAAAAATTTTCAATTTCAAAATTGATTTGACAGTTCATTGTCCCAGCAGCTTTGTCGATGCGACTAACTGTATTCTTTTACCATGGCATAAATCATCAAAATACCGAATAATGAAAGGAACCGTTATATACCACAACGTAGACCTATATATCTCATTTTCAATACCAACCAACCATGGCATAATTACAGAAGGTAGAACAAAGCTACCCCCTAAATACAATTTTTTTCTTTTGGTCAAAACATAATCAATAAAAATGCAAGAATTTGAAATTAATTGAAATACGGTTGCAAAATAAATGCATATTTTCGACGTTAATGGGCAGCCCATTGTACAATTTTAGAACAAATTGTATTGTCCTACTATTTTGAATTCAATCTGGTGGAATAACCCCAAAACTGCATTCTTGTTTCGCGGGTTTTCCCCCAATATATGAATTTTGTTTAAAAAATGAAAAATAAACAAAACCAACTGTTGCATATTTAAAAGTCTATTTGACACTATTAGACTCCAGCACAGATTTGCATTTTTATAGTTTCTTTGAAGTTGAACAACCCTTCTTATTGAGCCATGATACCAACCATCCTAAACACAATACAAATTGGTCTGCCAAAGTCGTGATTTCAACAGACAGACAGACGGACATCGTTAAATCAACTTGATTCATGCTGATCATGAATATACATACTACGTCGAATATCGATCCTAGCAAAAAAATATTCAACACGGTGTTAGAATATAACTTGGAAGTTGTATTCACATTTGATTTTGAGATTAGTCTTGGTGTGCAAACCCTATAAGCGCTTTCATAAATTCCTTTTTTTTGCTCAGCGATATTTGTTAGTTGCCACAGTAATTGAATATGTTTTTGAAAATAACAGCCAAGAGCACACACATATAGCAATGTTTTCCATAGTGACCATATCCCGTGTCATTACCTGTCTAACTGTTAAATGTGAATAAACAGAGTGCATATTTCTGTACGTGTATGTCGGCAGTTGTGCTGCATTGAAAGAGAGGATTCCCACCATGCGTAAAAATGAGTAAAAGCTTTCATAAAAAGGAATACTCTCATTACGTTCCATCCAACAGAAGGTTTTTGGATTTAGTTGCCAAATGAATCTTAACATTGGCGCATGTGCCTTCGCGGTGTGACGGATTGCGGAGGAGTTTGAATAGAAAGGGACATTTTCATTTCAGTGAGAAAATTAAAATAATACAAATACACCACCAGAGCCCTTGAAAAAGAGAGCATATTTGAATTTCGTCCTCTTTGCTGCACTACAATCATCCCCCTCTTGTATTTTATGAAAGTCGTAACGGGAAGAGCCGATTATATGTAGATATGATTAAATGAGTTCTGTTTTCGATATGCAGAAGTTTGTTCGCGTGTTATTAAAATTTACAAGCTTCTTAAAACCACATCCAATAGCATGCTGAGTTAGTGTGTTGAATATATGGTTAGTTGCTCATGGAGGGTAAACATTTATAAACAAAATTGTGTATTTCCATGGCTTTAGAAAATCTGAAAAAGTAATTCCAAACGCAAACAACGCTACTTTGGTCTACTGCAACAAGGTCCATCCACCCGTCTCCACTTCATTCAACCCCTGTGAAAGTTGCTAACATTTAAAATATAACAGTTTAAAGTTAACATACGTTTAGGCGTGTGCGTGTGAGTGAGTTTAACAAAAATATTATATATGTGCACGAAACGGGCATATTGACGATTATATGGACTGTCGGATAGAAACGACCTTACCAAGCCAGGAATAAAACTAAATCACCTAAATTCCCTATTACATAAACGGCAGGACTCGCAAGTGTACTAGGAGGGACGAAATCATCACATGTATTGGATTTTCCAATAGAACATCGCAGCTGGTTTGCCTCTGAAAATGTGTTGGCTGAATTTTCATATGTGGCTACTTGGTCTTTAGCGTTGCCGTTCCTTTAGGTTGACCTGTGGTATGTAGCATTACCATGTTTTTTAAGTTGTGTGTGTGTATTTACAATTTACAAATTCCAGGATGGCACATCAAATCGTGGGAATATTGAGAAACAAGCATTCGAATGGACACTTTGCAGTGTTCTATAGAAGACCCTTACGGGATATAAGCCAATTTGTACAAGAAGAGAAATAAATTACAAGCCGCTGACTTTTACTCCTTGGAATGATTCCAAACTACAGGTATCAGAGCATCGGACATCCGCGTCAACTGAAAGACGGTACAGACATACCAACAACTGTTTACGCTAAACTGCTTATGAGTTACAATTTGTGGGACAAAGTGTCAGCGCAAATGAGAAATTTCAAGCAACATGCAACCGGGCAACAATCAAGCAGAAGAAAGTGAAGACGCTGTAGACACAAAGCCGAAGAGCAACGAAAATTTGCCAGACAACATTGGTAGCGGCATTACCGTTATTTCTGCGCTCGGTGATGAATGCGACGCTGCCGAAGGTAACAAAGAAACACAAAATGTTGGAGACAATATTATTACAATAACAACAACGAGCATAAATAGCTACGCTAAAAATCCACAGCTACACTCGGAGCTGACCACAGTTCCAAATCAAAAGGCAAGTGCTAATCGTAACAGCAGAGTTTTACATATTTTCAATCAGAAGGTATCCCCGACAGCAGAAAACGGACTAACCACTTCCCAGTTGCACAGATTACCTAGAATTTGGAACAGAGCAAAATTTGTGTCTTTTCAAAATAATATTGCAACCCTCCATCACCGCAAAGGACGACGTTTGCATGGTCTTCAAACTCCGCTTCATCCTCTTCAATTGTTTGGTTGGTTTGTACTAGTGCTTTTCGGACTAGCAGCCTATGGAATATTAGTACCATCGTTTAGTACATCGATTCAGGGCCCGTTGT